CAATTCACCTATTTGCTATGAAATTAGGTTTGAATTTTTTAAGCTTTCGCTAAGCACTTCTTCACTCTAGATTTTAGATGTAATTTCTGATCAAATTTACCATGCCCTTTCTCTATATCCTTCTGCCAATATTATTGTTATTGGTGACGTTAATGCAGCTATTTGTTTTTGCAAGGAATCAATGTAAAAAAGTGCTGTCAGATGCTAAACTCCATTATTCTCAGTTCACTAAATCTTGTATCTTATCTCAGAAGTTAGGCTCTAGAGACTTTTAGGAAATCTTCAGTTCCGTCAATAACAAAGTCTTACATACAATCTTGAATTCTCATGAGACTGATCTTATTATCTCTCCCAAGGATAAGGCAGAACTATTTGCAAAGAACTTTTTCTCTAATTCATCTCTTGAAACTAAATGATTAATCCCTTCCTTCCATTTCCATTAAACAACCTATTGTTATAAATTCAAGTCATTCCAGCTTCCTTTGCTAAAGTTATATCTCAATTAAACTCTTCTATGGCTTGTGGTCCAGACAACATTATATCTACTACTACTACTATTACTAGGTCTTTGAGTTTATGATCAACAAATTTCTCAATTCCTATCTTGAGTCAAATAACTTACTGTCAAACAATCAGTAGGTTTTTCAATCCTCTTGCTTTGCCGCTTGACTTGCCAGCTGCTATGGTTATAAGTTTCTATTGTGCATTCGATGGAAGTGGAGAAGCTAGGGCTACTGCTCTTGACATATCTAAGGCTTTTGATAAAATTTGGCATGCTAGTCTTCTCTATAAGCTTGCTTCATATGGTCTGGAAATTTATTATAATCTGGGAAAGTTTATAAGATTATCAAATTGTTTCTTTCTAACCACTTTATTAAACTCATCCTCAAAGGCCAACACTCTTCTTCTGTTCCTTTTTTGTTTCTCATTTACATTTATGATCTTTACATTTTCTCTTTTTGATCGCGTTGAACAGGTAAGGCAGGCTTTTTAAAATCTGATTTCATTTTTGTAACAGATTGGGGCTTGCAGTGGCTCGTGAATAAAACTTCAATAAAACTTAGTTATTTACTCCAAACAACTATCACAATATTGTCGATATCTTTTTTTTAATGAAAGGTAACCCTCTCAACTTGAATGCAACTGGTTTTTAAAAGAATTTTGTCCTAGTTGTACAAAAGAATGTTATAGCAATATTTTAAAATTACTGTTTACATAAAGGAAGTTTTATAGTTTTTAACTTGATGATTTACTTTTAACTTAATGATTTACTTTATAATATTTTACTCATTAATGCAATTTTTATATATGTGTATCAAGTGACTTTTTTTATGTTTTAAATTTAATAGAAAAGAATCACAACAAACTCTTAACACTGAATTTGAAATCAAAAAGAAAAAAATTATATTTACGCTCTACTTTATTATGTTCACTGGATCAGTAGGTGAGAAAAACTTATTGTAATTATTGTCAAGTCAATCAATGCTTGACCCTTTTATTTTAATTTTTTTTTGGTGTACAAACTAACATTCATAAAAATTTTGTTACAATTTAAATGTCTAACTTCTTGTAATTTCAGACACTAATTTAGTATATCAGTCTCTTTTATAAACTTATTTAATTTGCCTTTTTTCAGGTTTATATAATTTAGGTCTTTGGGTCATACAATTTAGACTTAAGTTTGTTAAATAGTGATGGAAATTTGACAAAATTTTTATGGTGAAGAACTCGAATACATATTATATATGAAAAGTATAAAAAACTGTTGAAAATTTAAAGCTGTGTACAAAGTAAAAAATATGTTAAGATGAAAAATAGAATTTTAAAAATTTCTATGTATTTATATGTAACAAAATGTAAAATATATAATTATGTAATTTGTTTCTATTGTTCTAAATGTTTTGTTACATTTAGAACAATAGAAACAAATTACAGAATTATATGTTTTACATTTATGTTTTTATGAGTCTAAAATATTATCCTTTAGTTCTATATCTATAAATATGTTTTTTCGAAGTTTTTCTTGTGTTCACTACAAACTCTTTAGTATGTAAGACTTTTAAATTCTTTTTTAAATCAAATTTATTAAAAGTTTAAATATATATAATCTTAAAATGTAGTAAATTACAAATATTAACCATAAAAATTAGGAAATGATTAAAAAGCTAAAATTAAAATAAGAAATATTGAACAGTTGGATAAAAAAAGAACTCAGCACACATTATCCCATTTTCCATATCCCATTTTCCATATCCCATTTTCCATATCCCAATTTTCATATCCCATTTTCATATCCTATTTTCCATATCACATTTTCCGTATTTTGGATTCCAATTCTGCATGATCAGAGCAGTGCTTGTATCTTTTCCAATGTACATTCAATTTTGAGTGCAATGTTTCAGTTGCATATTTACTAAAGATTCCAAGTTAAGCTTGATGCTTTAATACAAATTCTTCAATGTGATAGAAGAAAGCATGGATCTTGGTGTTCAGATACTATAATATTATATTGGAACACCAAAGGTCCATGCTTTCTTCAAACCATGTTTCCTTAATTTGCCAATATCATATTATGATATTGGCAAATTTATAGGAAACATGTTTTGAATTTCTGAGTTTTAGTCCTAAAGCTTTCTTTTAGTGTTGTTCCAAAACATGAAGAAACAATATCTTTAAAGTTTCTTTAAAGTTTCAATAAAAATAAGCACCAGCTTTTTCAGACATTTGTTGGAGAATGTCAATATTTTTAAAAAACTTATGGCAATCATCTCCTTTCACCATGGGTGGGTGGAACTAGATGTGAAACTTAACTGGCTGTTCTATGGCCACATTCTTTGGTCTGAAAAATTTTTGAAAAGATGATTAGCATTTTTAAGAAGAAGGAATTCCATTGATGAAATAACATCTGAAATGAGCACTGAGTTGTCATATTGATCAATGGTGAATAAATTACATTTGCAAAATTTTTTTTAAACCTTAAATCCGCTATTAGCAACACGGCATATCTTTTCTTTAATGTGCCAAAAAATCTTATCCACAATTTGATAGATTGTTGAAATCAACCTTGCACCAGCAGCAAGGATGTTTGCTTGAATGAGATTGAATTCCACAAATGATATCGGCCATTTTTAGATCACATGAAATGTAAAATAAAATATTATTCAATTAAATAATGTTCATTAATGCATTGACATTCTTGTATGTTTCAGGTAGATTTTCAAGAATGGAAACAATGACTGTTTAACTCCACATTTAACAACATTTGCGCTGTATATGGCTTATTGATTTTAGCACAGATTATTAAAATATAAATAAAAATGAAAAATAAGATAAAGTGGAAAGTAAGATAAAGTGGAAGGTGCTGATTGAACTTTAAAACATTTAATGTGTAATAAATTTAAAGTAATAATAAGTAATTTTCACTCATATAAGCTTTAAATATTTTAAAAATATGAAAAATGTTTAATTGCCTGGTATTACTGCTATATATTCATTCATTATATATATATATGTATATATATATATATATATATGTATATATATATATATATATATATATATATATATATATATATATATATGTATATATAAATTATAACTATAATTTCTATAAACAATCTTGTTATTATAAAATGATCTTATTATTATTCTATAAACAATCACCCGTATACTGCTTTTGAAGCTGACAATAAAATAGATGCCTTAATCTAGATACCAAGCTATACACTATAATGATTTTTGCATTTCATTTATGTACTCTTCAAGGAAGTGACCAATACTATTCATCAGCGGAGAAAGAGTTGAAGCTATTAAATCATTGGTAACATTTTCTTCTGGGTTGATATTTCATTCTTATCACAGAGCAATGCTTTGTGGCATTTATTTATGCTTATAAATAAAACAGTCATTTATGTATGCTTATAAATCAAACAGCCTTGTCTCCATATTTGTATGATATTTGTTATCGTCCAGGGAAAAGTAACAATGGTTTAGATACATTTATTTATGTTTGGTGTTATGCAATACTTTCAGAATCACTATATGATTTGCATGCTGCACTTTGACATATTTTTTATATTTGCTAAAGGTGACCAAGAATCTGAATAACTCAAAGATGACTAAGAATCTCAATAATCCAAAGATGACCAAGAATCTCAATAACTCAAAGAATCTCAAAGTTGACAAAACTTACTATACTGACTATACTAAATTTAATTTAAAAATATTTTTTTAATTAAAATTTAAAAACTTTAATTAAAAAAAAAATTTAATTAAAAAGCCAGACTCTTTGCTGGAATTATTTGCCTCTTAAACCTTAGTGGAATATTTAGTGGAATATTTGCAGAATATGTAATAAAAACTCAAAAAATAGGAATTAAAACCAAAGTATTACCATTTAACAGCTTTTTGAACTTATATCCATAGATTTTAAAAACCCATTATTATTTCAACTCCTGAACAATATATGTTTACTGTTGTAGATGAATACTCACATTTAAAAATCACAGTAAAAGATTAATATAAGTCACGATATCTACCATTATCATCTTAGAAAAGAGCTTTACTAGATGCATTTCATGCTACCAGATCTTTATGGTGTACTCTATTAATTAAAGTCCACATGAATGCTTTTTCATCTTTCAACAAAGATTGTCATTATGTTCTTCAATACCTTCATGGATAATTAACCCTGGACCTGTTTAATTAAAGAATAATGTGCTCCAAACTAAATATAAAGATTCTATAAAGGGGGTCCAGCCCTAATGATAGAGAAACTACAGTTTCTACTAAACAAATTGCTCCTATTGAATTAGGTGATAAAATATAAACATCAATTTATGGTCTAAAAACCACTCCCATCGATGGCAATGAAACTTTATTAATTACAAGAAAGAAAGTTGGAGGTTATTTGAATCCTATAAAGTGAATGGGCCTTTTACCTCATAGATCTTTACAAATTTCAAGTTAAATTTCTTCTCCAACTCGATCTTCCTTGCCAAATCATGCAAGTTTTGGTGTCATGTCGCAATGGCGCAAGAATTACTGGAAGTTGCCTACATTTTGAAAGTTTAAATAAATATTATTAGGCAGCAAAATTTTACCTAAATTTTTTACTAAAATATTAGGCTTTTAACCCCGGTTAAAAAAAATATTTTCGAAAAAATATCTACCTAATTCTAAAGCAGATAAAAATTCATTAAAAAATTTAGATTTGAAAATTTTTTTTCATTTCATGTTATAAACATGTAACAAATTCAACCCCCTCTAATTGAGGGGTTTGTAAATTTTACATGGTCATTGTTTCTAATTACAAAAGATTTTTTTGTCAAAAAAATTTTTTCGATCTAAAACACTGTCTAGTCAGCATTTAGGTCCCACCAGCCAAATTTCGATCATAATATGTGTGTTAGTAAGTTTCCTAATGATGATAGTAATGAAGTAAGCAAAATGCTGGTCTAAAAAGTGCTTGAAAACGTGATAAAAAATGTATTTACAGGTAATAAATAATTGTAAAGGTATAATTAAAATAAATTAGGTAATGCAAAAATTTAGCCTGAGGAAGTGCTGCACTCAGCCTTTTTTTTCATGCAGGAGCCTTGTTCCTGAGTTTCTGAGTTTGTTTTTTATTTTTCTGTTTTTGTTGTTTTACTGTTCCTATTTTTGAGTTTAGTGTGTGAGAGAATGTTACAGATAAAATAAAAAATATAATTAACAAAAAAAAAAAAAAAAAAAAAAAAAAAAAAAAAGAATACTACAAAAGTCTGTCCAGGTAGAAAGAGTCCATTTGATACTCTCATACAGGTTCTTAATTAAAATTTATTGTTATTTAATAGATGTATTGTTAAATTTTAACTAATTAGATTATAAAACTTTTTTACATTTTATACATTTTTATTCTGTTGCTATTAACAAGTGATAACTGAATAATGAGAATAATTCTAACCCTCTCAAATCAAACTGCAAAAGTCAAATAAAGAAAAGTACTCCTATGTGAAACTATACTCTCTCTGTTTACAAATTTATTATATGTTTAGTTTTGTATCAGTTGTGTATAGTAATTCAGTTATATTTTTAATGCCGTCAAAATAAGATATAGTACGAGAGCGCATATTGTTCAGTTCTATAAAATGCACCAAAATTTTGGAAAAAAGTTTACTGTGAATCATTTTAAAACTGACAATGTTCCAGTTTCAACTATGTATCGTATTTTGGCATCCTTAACAACAAATCATAAAATTGGTAGTAGAAGACCAGCCGAAATAATGAATAAGAAGGGACTTAGTTTGCTTCATGGTGCTTTCAGCAACAATGATTCAATAAGTTAATGAGATGCTGCAGAAAAGTGCAAGTGTACACAGCCTTATATCTACAAATCGTTGAAAAAACAAGGAATAGTCTGCCGAAAAAAAACAAGAGCACTGGAATACACTGAACAACAAATATCAACCGGGAAATCTTAATGATACTGGATGACCCAAGATTACTCTGGAAAATGTTTTGTTTTGAATCACAAAAGTTACTTCCCCCTCTCCAAAACGCAAGTTCCAGGAAATGATGGATTTTATACAGATAAAAGTTCTACAACACCTAAAAAAAAAATACAAACACAAGTTTGAGCAGATAGTGATGCTGTACATTGCCATATCTGAGAAGGGAATTTCTAAGCCATTGTTTAAGCCAAGTGGTTTAGCTATTAATCAAGAAGTATATCAAAATCCATGTTTGAAGTAAATATTGATTCCATTTCTTCAAAAATATCATTAAGATGGCATTTACTTGATTTGACCGGATATAGTATCATCACATTTATGCCAAATCACAATTGTTTAAGGCAAAAAAGTCTTCTTGGAAAGCCAAAACATCCCATATGTACCAAAAAACTGCAATCTGACAAACTTGCCTTAGTGTCGCTCAGTTGAAGATTTCTTCGGATTTTTGAGTTCGTTAGTATACAAAAACAACTGGAGTGCTAAGAATTGAAAACAATTGATTACTCAAATTAAAAGATGTATTCGTCAAATCGACATAAACGCTGTACAATGCTCCTGTTCCAACATCATGTCGAACTGCTGATGATGGACCATATTTGAATGTTCATTAATTTTTTCTTAAAGATAAGTGATGTACCTACAATTAAAATAAATATAATTTTCATTTTCTAAACATTTGTTTTATTATAGCCCGATATAAAAATTCTCATTTTTGAGTTATCACCCGTTATTCTTTTAACTGTTAAGTTGATATTTATTTAATTTATTTATTTTAAAGATGAAAAGGTGTTAAAATAAAATTATGAAAAGGTGTTAAAATAAAATGTGAAAATAAAATAAAATAAAAGATGAAAAGGTGTTAAAATAAAATGTTTTATATTTTTATGTAATATAATTTTTTAAAAGTATGAATATTATAATTACATATAATTATTTTTTTTGAACTATTTATTTCTTTTTAAAAGGTTTCTCTATTTTGATGTCTTCTATGTGGCCGTTTATGAAAGAGGTATGTATATATACTTAACAGGGTTGGTACCCAAAAATTCAAACTCAAAAACCCACCAAACACCCAAGTTAATGGGTTTTCGGTCTTAAATTTTTTTATTCATAAATTAATTTCCATTTACACTGTAGATTGCTTAACAATTATAATAAAATTCTTATAATAATAAAATTCTTATTATAATAAAGTTCTTATGATAATAAAATTTGAAGTTATATATAGTTATATAATGCTATATATTTCATAATTGAGTTGTTTTTAATTGGAACAGTAATATTCAAAATTTCTTTAGATTTTTATAAGTTTAGATTTTATGGATTGATTGAAAATCTGCAAAGGGTTTCTAGTTTTATGAATAATATACATTATTTCATCAAATTTATTTTTAACTAATACTAAGTAATCTACCATGAACCTTGCGATTTATTAGAATAATGTAGATGATACAACTAACATATTTAGAGAAAACCTCCAAATAAGATGTGTTTTTTACATTATAAATCAAATCAAACAATTTTTTTGATGGCACATCAGCAATTGTGCATCTTGATCTTAAGTGTAAATTCGTGCAAATATTTCACCTTTTTTTCATTCTAAAAAATTTTTCAATTCTAATTTTGCTCTAAATAATTCCAAAAGATGAAAAAAATCTTTCCATGTATCCCCCTTCCATGTATTCACTTTTCATGTATCCAGCTTTTATGTATCCACTTTCCATGTATCCACCTTCCATGTATGAAAAAGTATGTAAAAGTGAGTTTCAAATTTTTTATTTAAACAGCCTGTAGCTTATGACAAAACAGCTGACTCTACCTGATTCAGGCCGTGTGATGATGCAGGAGCGATTGCACCGCGCACATGAAACATGTCCTTAAATGACCTTCTAAGCGAAACAAATAATGCTTGCTAGTTTCATTACGAGAGTAAAAAATCGCGCTTGTCTGAAGAACTTGTGAGGGAGAAAATTATAAGTTGATTTTTTAGAAAAAATTTTTATTAAAATTTTTTTTTGCTGAAGTCAAAATGTTTAAACAGTAAAGTTTGCATGTGGTTAAATAAACAAGTTATATTCATAATAAAGTCAAAGTATGTCACACATAATTTATGCGTGAAATACTTCAAATTTAATTTATGCAATATAAATTTAATTTATGAGATTCAAATTAAAAATGATTTATTTCTTCTATTTAAAAGCTTAATCCAGTTTTTTTTAAAAATTTTAGTTGAACTTTATCATATTATCTGCCTAATCGTACACTGGTTAAGTCAAACCATTTGTTTTTTAGGGTATTGACATTTGACAAAAAACTTTGCTTAACTAGAACTTTTACTTTGAATTGCATTAAAGTCCATGTAATAAAATATCAAAACTTGCAGCATTTTCAGTATTATGAGCGCAAAATATTGCGCTGGGCGATATTGTTCATCACATGCACTGCTGATTGCTGGTTATTTAAATGACTTAAATTTACTACCATTCTAATTCCAAGACAGTCAGAAAAAACACATTAAGTCATTTGAAGGCTTTGACCAACTACATTGTATTTTTTCATGGACTCTTTCTGAAAAACCCTAATTCTTGTCAAGCAGCCATAAATGATTTAATTGCATTCAATATTTCTTTTAACCAGATTTCTCATAGTTGAGAGATCTGGTTAAAAAGAAGCCTGAAATTATTTGAGAGATCTGGTTAAAAAGATTGAAATTATTCCTATATCAAAATTAGAAGACTTTCTCAATGTCCTACCTTATGTTCTTGTTGTTGGAAATCTCCATGAAGGAACTTCAACTCTGGTAAGAAAAGGGCTTCAAAGCTTGTAAAAATGAGGAAGTTTTCTAGTCTTTTGAAAAAGAGTGAGGCAAAAGTGTGAAGTTTTTAAAGAATGAAATTTTTTAAATTTATGAAGCGTGACAAATGCGCTATTGCTGCAAAATTACAAAATCAGTAGATACTGTATTATAAAAATTATAAAATCATTACATACTATATTATAAAAATTGTAGAATCGTTACATACTGAATTAGAGAATGCTTTTTATTTTTCAAAAAGAAGTAAAAGTAGAAGTTATTGACAAAATTACTGAAATATTGAAATTATTTTTGACTCAGCATTTTTTTACCTTGGCAAAATATAACAAAGCCCTTGGGATATGTCAAGTGCCGAGGTTAACTTCCATCTGTACTTTGTTTTTTCTTTTTATTTAGTCTTTACATTTAATTTTCTCTTAGCTTTTCCCGCCATAAGCGAAATCATTACAATGAATTAATTATTTATAAATAAATTTAAAATTATCAATAGAGCGTTTACACATTTTTTTAATTAATCAAGGAATCAGTTGAAACATATTTGAAAATGATTATGTAACATAAGTAACTGCATTTCACAAAACGATTTCTTTTAGTATTAAGTATTCATGTTAAATTTTTTAAATGTTTTTTAAAAATTGTTTTATATTTATAAAAAAAAAAAAAAATTCAATTACTTAAATTGTATCAAACTTCTTATTTTAATTGAATGAAAGTTTGTGTGCGCGAGAATTATTTTAAACTAATAACATTAGCTGGCAATTTCAATGTTAGTTATTTGTGTTTCCATTTAAAAATGCATTGATTTACTTTAAAATTATTGTTTTGAAAGGAACACAATTTAGTTAATTTTTAAGCATTATTAGTTATTTTTGTATATGTAAAACTCATTTATAAAGAACTAATACTAATATACAAATTTAAATAAAAAAATTAAAATTTTGACTGTTAAAAAAACAAACAAATAACTGTCAATTCCTTGTGTTAGCTGGTTTAATTGACCGGTTCTTATTTTACTATTTAGTTACTTGTTCTACTTGTTTTTCGTTCTATTAATAATATAATATCATTGCTCTGTTCTTTTAGGAACATATATATTAGACCTTTAAAACAAGATTTTTGCAAAAAATCTGCTCTCATTTTTTAAAATGTGTTTTTAACACAAAAACACATTTAAATATTTAAAAAATATATATTTTAAGGGGTTGCTCAAGACCCTTAAACATCGGGTGGGTCCCTAATATTATTTTAAAAAATTCTTCAAAAGTATATTAACTTAATACTCATAAAAAAATGTAAAATAATTTAATAATTTTTTTTAAATTATATAACCCTAATATACTTAAAAGAAAAATTATTAGATTATATTGCACAATTTTAGATTATATTGCACAAAACCTATGGTTTTTTACTTAAAATAAAAGTCAATATTAGCAAGTATTCTAATAATTAATTTTTTTTATAAAAAATAACAATTATTTTTAAAATTTAGTTAAGGTTTCTTAAGCAACCCCCTTTACTTTTTTTTTCAAAAAATTTTCAAACTTGCTTTTTTTGTATTATATAAAACACATTTAGGGGGTGGGAACAGATTTTTTTCTCAAATCTTGATTTAAAAACCACACTAATATATATATATATATATATATATATATATATATATATATATATATATATATATATATATATATATATATATAAAAATATATATATATATATATATATATATATATATATATATATATATATATATATATATATATATATATATATATATATATATATATATATATGTATATATAATATATATATATATATATATAAATATAAATATATATATATATATATACTGATTTATCAATCTAAAATCAGTTCACATAAACTCTTATTTCTTATTTTATATATATATATATATTTTTTAAACATCTTCACTTCCCACAAGGCTAAAAGCAACCACTAATTAGTGCTAGAAGTTACTGGAAGAGAAAAAATGAAGATTGTAGAGCAAGATAACGATTGACAGACGGCTTAGAAGATTGAAAATTATATGAATCAGAAAAGCAAGATGAAGGAAGTGAATTCCAAAGAACTGATGTTAGAGGAAAAAAACTAGACAAGAGTTTTTGGGGCACATAGCAACAGTAACAGAAAAAGGATGAGACTTAATTAAATGACGAGTAACACAAGAAAGAATTTGATTAGAAGACACAAGAGACGCTAGCTCTTTGGAGCAGTGCCTATTATAGTATTTGGAGAATTGAGAAAGAGAAGCAACATTATGACGATGTGATAATGGTTGAAGGTTAGCTGCGAGAGCAGGTCCAACAATGTTTACAATGCATTTTTGCACCTTGTCTAAAAGAGACAGGGCATCATTAAAAGATCCACCCCAGATATGGCAACAGTATTCCATACAAGGACGGATTTGAGATTTATAGAAATAGAGAATAGAATACAGAGTAAGAAGGTGTCAAGCTTGATAAACTTTAGCAGATAGTAATTTTGTAACGGATTTAATATATGGTTTCTAAGAAAGATCAGAAGTAAGAGTTAATCTTTGAAGATGAAGGGTAGAGGACTCATCAAGTATATTACCATTCATACATATAGGAAGGTCAAAATTATTGCGATAACAATTGGCTGAAAAAAATTGAGTTTTATCTGAATTAAAGTTTACCAGCCACTGTGAACTCCATGCTATAGCAGAAGTAAGATCCTTTTCAAGCTCAAATGCCCCCTGCAAGCAATCAGAGAGTGTTGGCTTCTTATCATGACAAGAATAAGTTGTTTTCTAAGAACTTTTCATCAATACCATCTCTTGATTTCACTAGTTGCGTTTTACCTGATATAGCCGTCAAACAGGTTGATCCATTGCTCCACATCCGTATAACTCCAGCTACTGTATCTAAAGTAATTTCCTGCTTAGACTCTTCTACAGCTTGCGGACTGGACAACATACCTGTTATAGTCTTGCAGAAGTGTTCTCCGGAGCTGTCGTCTATCCTTTTAAAACTAATCAACAATTGCTTATCAGAGTCTTGTTTTCCAGCCTGCTAGAAAGCAGCATCTGCTATCCCTATTTTTAAAAATTCTGGAGAGCGATCTGATTTGTCTAACTATCGTGTTATTAGTCTTCTTCCTATCATAAGCAAGGTTTTTGAATCTTTAATTAACAAACACTTAATCTTTTATCTTGA